AACAAAACAACAACAAACTAGAGATATAGAAAATAAAACCTCCTTTCAAATTCTCATACTGCCGAGGAAAAGGCAAATGCACTGAAGAAAGTCTATGCTGAGAAATTAGATATTAAAAAATAATAAATAATTGAATTCTGTTTTCGTATGATCTGTAAAAGTATGCAGGGGGTCGATCGAGGAGGATGTTATCCACCTCTGTCGATAACACCCCTTTAATCTCCCCCTCATTCTTCAAATCTTATAAAAGCTGAATTTTTAAATTGTTAATGAATCCGACACATACTGATTAAAGCTGTATTCAAATTGAGGCTTGTTGTGGCGTTGACTGTCATTACCGCATGAAAATGTGCTCTGTTTTCCTATCACCTCGTGGCTTGCATTGTTCATAGGCCACCTACAAACCTAAAATGTGTTGAAAGCATTGAGTTGTAAACTGAGAAAATCATAAAACCAGCAGTTATCGTAGATTATACGGTGCGTCGCCTAGGGTCTTAGACACCTGTATCGGTTCCCACAAAGCATCTTAATCCTTTTTTTCCAACACTGAGTTATGGGGAGTTCATTTCTCACACCGCAGGAATTTCATTTGAAGAAGAAGCAAGAAAGATCCTTAATGCCCCTCCTCCCCAGAAACGCCCGATACTCAGGCTACGAACTACTTTTGTGACGTTTCAAGATGGTGCAGTTTTGGAACCGACACGCCGACAACCTCTTATCCATTTCTCGCGCTTGGAACATGCACAGGCCGCCGATGAACACACAGAACAGCCAACGACTCAATTAGAAAGGGTCTCCTTTGTCGACGCAATTATAAGATCATTAATCGAGCAACCCTAGCTATTGAAAGTCACATAAAGTACATTTTAATGGTTTTCTATTACCTGTGCACAATTTTTGATTTTTTTAGTTTTCAATAAAGTAAATAATACTGTTTACAAATGGAACATCCTTTCGTACGTTATCTTCATTTGATGGCAAGGCAATGTACACAATTCAAACGAGATGGACAATTGATGAAATATTGAAAGATTTTTTGAGACATGTAGAGCAATTTCACAAGACGTTAAGGCCGCCATATTGGTTTTCCAAAACAAAAAGCGCGGATGTTTGTGTCTCAAACCAGGAGCCCATAACCAAACTAGTGCTGTGGGACTTAAAATTTTTCTTATGAAAACACTTTCTTTTTTTCCATGAATACTAAATTTGTATCAGGCTTTTAGCCAGATGAGTAACAAGGCCCGAAATTGATACTTTCTAGATATACCGCTTATTTTCTTTCCTACTTCATCTCTTTTGAGTAATGCTCACGCGAGGCCAACAAAATTGTAGGTCTCAGATTTTAAGCACTTACAGCCACATCATGACCTTGAGAGTTTCCACACCAGAATGAGCTGCAAGGATTATAAGAATAATCCCAGCTTTCTTTACCTGCTACGGTAAATCTGTTGAAAAAATAAAACAAGAGATTTAATTAGTAAAGTAAATCAATAGTTTGAAGATCACTTTGGTCAGAAATAGGATAGTCAGTAAAAATCGCAGCGTTTTTGTTCTTCGCGAACGCGCATAAGCCAAAATTTGGAGTAAAATTTTTGGCAAATATTTATTTTAGGAGAGGGAGAAATTTAGTCTACAAAGAGTAGCATGTAAATGGCATAATCGGCAGTGGAATTTTGTCTAAAATGTTACTTGTTTTTTTCTTGTTTCAAACTCTGTCAGGATTGCTCAGAATTTCCAAAGCACGGTATTGCTAGACGTTCCTGGTGACTAACGCAATAGCATAAACCGAAAACTAAATTGGTCTAAATATGCATCGTTCTATATGGAGACAAAAACGACCCTCGCCGTCCGAAAAGGGTTAAATTCAGTTCAGCTTGGTTTAATGATATTGTAAATCATTACTTACATAGCGCTATCGTAGATCTAATGCGCTTAATTTACAATATGAACTAAATTAAACGAGCTATGAATTGTAAATGAATTACAACCTCGTCCGCAGGGTTTGCCCTTTCTTAAGGGAAAAGCCCTGGGGATGAAGAAAAAAGAAAGGCTAATTTAAAGTATTTGCAAAATGACAGCCACCTTATGCATCTATTTCTTGCATTACAAACCTGGGTGTTCCATCTTTACTTTGCAAGGGAGCGAGGTTGAACAATCCGTGTTTATTGTAACAGGCGCAGTTGTAATAAGACGCTGGTATTGTTCTGTTGCCACTTGTTCTTTGATATTGAAGTGAAGAGTACAGTAAGACTGACCACATAACACGACTGATCCACATACTTGATGGCCTGGTACTAAAATCATTGAAAATTCTTCATCAGAACTGTATTTAACTATTTTGCGCTGGCTATCCTTATCAACAGCGTCTCAGTTGACGAGGAAATTTTTCCGGCTAACGGTAAACATAACATACAAATTAAACTTTTTTCTCTCATATCTCCTAAAAACGAACTTATTTTCATTAAACGAAAGTGGGTAACTCGAGAGCAGATGCTGCTTTGGCCACCAAACACATCCTAGAAGTAGTACGTAGCATCTATTTTAGTATAGTGACGCATATAATAGGTAGAATTAGTTTCCGGGAGATTCCCTTTCTCCTCAGCAATACGTAGCAGTTACAGTCGATCCACAGAAACCAGGGTATCCATGCGGCTTCACTTAAATTAAATGAAGATAGTCAGCAGAAGTTCTTTTTTCTTCTTAACCTCGTTTTTCATTGTGAAGATATCATGTTTTATAAGACTCCCATTTGTAAAATTAGCAAAGAAGTTAGGACCGTTTCAAACGTCGTGCTATTGCCGTGCTAAGCTGGCTCGACTGTAGGTGCTGTAGCTCGACACTGGCCCGACTTGATTTCAGACGTCGAATTTAATATTAAGTCAGTCGAATAGAGCGGCTGTTGCCTAAAACAAAGCGCAAAAAGGAAGAAACGGTGTAGCAAACTTCTAAATGTATTCTAACGTAATTATAATTTATGAATTGAATTCGGCACGGCGGTAGCACGACGTTTGAAACCAAGTCGAGCTACTGCCGTGTTGCACGTTAAGGCTTGCCGTGCTACACGGCAGTAGCACAACTTGGTTTCAAACGTCGCGCTATTGCCGTGCTAAAGTCGAATTTCATTCGATCAACTGAGTTCGGCACGGCAGTAGCACGATCGACATTTGAAACGGGCCTTAGATTGCACTTCCGGCAAAATGCATTACTTCGCCGATTTCTGTTATCCATTTTCTTTCCATTTGTATCTAACTCGCTTTGCCTATATGGAAGCTTAACAAAATTTCTACATACATTGCAGTTTTTATCAAAATTATTTATGAGCATTGACTTCCGCCCTGTTGCCCAAAGGTAATACAAAGAACTTAAATACAGACCTCGCTTACCTTCAGGCAGTAACAAAAGTGAGCACCCAAACTTCGGTAATCATTGCTCGGTTTTTCCTTCAATGCTTATTTAAATTTGTTAATTCTTGTTTTAATATCATAACCAAAGAGTTACAAAACGGCGCTAAAAGAAGGGACAGAGACCGGTCGTGTTGTCAGCGGATGTCTCCCTGCGCTGCATTACAGTATAAAGGTCTTTACAGGTTTTACGTAACGCAATCTTCTAGCTTTTTAATATGTGTCTCTACTACTGTGTATTCACTTATTAAGCCATATACAGAGGATATTACGTGGCCGCTTGGAGATACGAAATTTCTCTTCGAGTGTTGAAAAATATTTTCAACACTCGAAGAGAAATTTCGTATTTCCAAGCGGCCATATTATGTAAACACCAATGAAATACCAAACCATTTCACTTACGGTGTCTGAACACAGTTTTGGCAGTTTGTAGGTATATGTCATTTGCCAAATCATGGCAAGAGAAAGGTTACAGCTCACAAGCTAAAAAATGGCAAGTGAATAATATACTGATAAAAGATTTTGACTGACAGGTAAAATATAACGTTTTCGTAGTTTCCATGGCAACATGGGCGATTGAATACAACCTTAAAATTTCACTTCCGCTCAGTTTACATAAAATTAGCTCATTAGATTTTCCTATAAACTTGCATACAGCTTACTATAATTAATCATTACCATTTGAAACTTATATGACCAAATTTAAACGCACGAGTTTTTAGATAATCAATAATATAACTGTTCTGAATTATTAAATGTGTCAAAAAATTCGTGTGTTCAACTTCCATTTTAAAGTTCTCATCATTTAAAATACAAGTAAAAATTCTGCCAAATACTAGTATCACGAAATTTTAATGACTAGATTGTGAGAAATCGTCTTCTGTGTACCATTGCTTTTTCGCCGCCATGTTTGTAACACGAGCCGTCAAGCGAGTTACCGCTAACCGCCCGCAAAACTGTGTTCAGCCACCTTAAATAGTTGTTTTCCTGCGAAAGGCGCGATGTATTATGTAGCCATAGCAACGGTGACTTTTTCACATGAGGGTTTCAATGGGGTATAGCTGTAGTCACAGTAAACAGTGAAAAAATGCTACATAGTCAGTAAACAGTTCAAAAATCGCTACTTAGTCAGTAAGCAGCCAAAAAACGTTTAGTCAGTTAATTGGCATGTTTTGAGTCCCGCAGACGTTTTTGGCCGTTTATAGCGTAGTTGTTTCGTTTTTTCGCTTACCCTCAAGACTCCCCCAAATAAGTTTAATCTCACTTTCCAGTTTTCATTTTTCATATCGAAGCAGCCTAAATATTAGTTTCTTTCAAGAGGTCTAACAAATTCAGCCTAACCACTGCTGTTTTTTGTCTGCCATTTCGCGTTTTCAAGGTTGAACTCACCACAACATCACTCTTCATATCCTCATCCTCACATAGTTGAGGCGAAGATAAATTGGAAGCAAAGTCAGAGTCATACTTACCCTGGGTACTGTCATACTCTTCGATGACTTCCTCTTCCTCTCTTTCAATGACTTCTTCTTCCACATTGCTGTTGAGAGGATCTTGTGGTATGTTTATAGCCCATAGGCTAGCTGTGATATGGGCAATGTGCCAGCTGAAAATTTTGTTGTTTGCTACCTAACAGTAAGTTGTCGAACACACTGCCCATGTTCACTCACCCATTCCCTCATCTTTGCAATGTTCCTTTTGTCCATGGGCATTACTGAAATCGGATTTAATTTTGCAATAGAACTGAAGAAAGATCCAATGCGAGCTCTGGAACAGGATAATAGTATTTCCTGTGGGTGAAGTATTTGACGGACCAGTTTGTTATTTGCTCAATAGATATCTCTCATTGCCTTGCCAATCTCGGCAGTAGTCTAGCAAACTGGGTGCTGGGTGTTTCATCTTCGTTGTTGCGTGAAGGTTCTCGACAAGTCAACAGAGACTGTAACTTGATCGCATTTGTAGGATCTAGACTCACACGTGTAAATTCTGATGCTTTTAGAAGACGTTAATCGCTATAAAGCCACAAAACATTATTGTTCGCTTTTATTACTAATCGATGCAGTATCTTCATTCTAACTTTTGTAGGTAATAAACCGGGCCCAGTTACTCGAAGGGTGTGTTGATATCACAAGTTCTCTACCCAAAAGGCTCGGACCTCCTTATTAATGGAGGCTCAAATCATGTCAAATACCTACTTACATCAACCATCGTTTAATGAAAATAATAAAAATAATAAAAAATTAAACTGTAGTTGTAAATGAAATTGGAAGGAATAAAAACAAGTAGTTTTTCATATACAAAACTGCCATGATAATCAAGTGAATCATGTTAGCATCATCGTCATCATCACCATATTTTATTCACACTATTCAGGAACAGAAAAAAAAATAGAAAATATACAGGAGACTATAGAGAACAACATGGTATAGAATATGCAACTAAACCTAAACAATTTTTAAATCAGTGTGCAGTTGACTAATGCTTAATTGCAAATAAGGAAAGAAACGAAGGAAAAATAATAACATTCTTGAACCCAGACGTTTTTCTCGGTTCTTTTCTTGCGTAGACATTTCCCAGAGCGGGAGCTCTTGAAAACATGGCCGACCGCTATAGTTATTAGTTTATGTCGATTTTGATGTGAAAAGCGCAAGTAATGTAGCTTAACGTGAGAAATAATGCCAATAATATCATTAAGAACTGAGTGCAAATGGTATAATGAAATGAGTAATTAGACTATTAGCGAATATTACGTAGCAAACTCACTAATCTCTTCCGGCTGCTTTAACCTATGAACTGGCAAGGTTCTTCTGAGTAAGCCATTTGTTTAAAAGTTCTGCCACATTTTTTTCAGTACATGTAGGTGTGTCCATACTTAACAAGACGAGTTAATTGGGAAAAGTGTGGAAGGATATTGGACATTGTTACGCAGACGCACTTGTTGAACTCGTCTTTACTCTTAGACACGGTGATATCGCAAGATTTTGTACTCAGTGGTTCAGATCTCTCTTCTGTTGGGTTAATATAGTTCAATATCCTTCTTGCATACTTATTAGCATTTATTTATGGGAGGTCACCCCAGACGAGCAAGCTCGATGGGGAAGACACGTAGGTGCTAATAAAGTAAGCAGAAGCAGAAGGGGCGGGTGGGTGGGGGCGACTCCAACTAAAGTTAGTGAAACTGACAACTGTGAATAATTAACACATGCTTATATACTATGCGCGAAGTCTATTGAATATTAATAAGGTATAAATAACTATCGATTTCAGATGGGGCTCGTTCAGCATGTCTGTCAACGAGGTGTTATCAGCAATTACAAGAAGAAATCCACTCGCGCCAATTGGGATAAAGATTTCTTCCATTAGCTCATTCTGACCGCTTGGACCTGTTCACAGAAAATGAAAAGTTTCGAAGAGTTTCAAGAACTGTGCGTCCGAACACAAGGAATTCTTTCCTGGTTTATGAATAGACAGCAGAAGAAACTCAGGGTGTATTCGGCATGTATTCAGGCAAGGATTATTATTTTAAAGGGTTCAAATATAAACCGAGAAATGGTAATTTTTTTGGAAATTGTCTCAAAAAACTGCGCATTGTCTTTGTTAAAAAAAGTCTCCGAAAATCGGAATAAAAACAAAACGACCTCTAGAATTTTCTAATGAAAGTAAGGCTACCCCATGTCCTTGAACTTCCGACTGGACCCATCAGAGTAGCTAACAGTTTCGAAAGACACTAAAAAGCACCTAAAACCTTCGGACAGATAAATAGTTTTTAAGGCAGCTCCACTCAACGAAACAGAATTCTAAAGTGTAGAAAAAACTATTTTAGACACCTAATATGGAAACATTTGGTCATTGGGTGTCCCTGCATTAGGCTCGAGTAGAAACTGTGCCCCGGAAACAAGCAGAAAATGCTCAACAAAGACTTTGTGCCCACCTACACCACCTTTATTTTATAATTTTCTGCTATAAAGGCCGTAAAGACACGATAGTCCCCGGTGGCAGTTAATTTACTCGTTATAACTTATCGGTGTTATCTCTCTGTCTAGAAGAAAGGCCAAAATGAAAAATCAGGCCGGATTTTTTTTGTGTGGCTCGCTACAAGAGGTCTGGTAGTGCGTAATGTACTTATCAGCGGCCGTCCCGGTGGGGGGGGAGGGGGATAACCCCGGGGGCATACGCGGGCATGGCACGGGATTTGCCAACTTTGTCCGTTCATTTTAAGCCCTGGATGGGAGATTGAATTGCTTTTACACTTTCGTAGCTGGATCCTCGGGGAAAGACCCGTGGGATTTGTAGCGCCGCCGCCATTTTGCAGATGGAGCTGGAAACGAGTACCGTTCCCGTCTGCGAAAGGACTGGGTATCTCGGTGAACACGTTCTGGCAAAAGACGGTAAACGACTGTCATATTTCTCTTGTATTCTGTTCCTTTTAGCTGGTGATCTTTCGCTTACGAAGCGACTATATTTTTCGGAAGAAAACTACGATTCCTTCTATAGAACTCTTTTGAAATATTGAACCTTTTGACTTGGCATAGCACACTTCTTTGCCCCCAAGGGAGGGGCGTTAGTCGCTTTTTGTTAAACAATCTTGGTTTTGAGTAGGAGGATTTGTAAACGTCGTAATGCACTTATCAGAGGCCATCCCGGGTGGTATTGCAAATATATAGGAAACAGAACAATAGAGGAGTGGTCAGCCAATCAGAAAATACTGACGTCAAATACTGATAAAACTGATTGGACAATACTGATTCTTTATCTGCACTTGTAAGGCGTTGTTGTGATTTGGAATGGCAAAGAGAAGTACCTTTCAATAAAACTTTTGTTGGCCTAATCGTTCAATTTAAACTTTTTAAAGAAATACTGGTACTTTGAAAGAAACGTGAGCATGCTGATTATCGATGCAGACATTCCCAGATTCATTAAACAGCAACGCTTTTATTAAATCTTTTAACTTTGCCTCATATATATATCTAATTCTTCCTTGTTCTGGCGAGGCAAGTAAACTGCGTTAATTCTAGCCTCTTTTAAAAACTAATCGGATGAATCAATAAACTGTAAGCATCAAATCATAATACCAAAAAGAAAACCAATTTAATAATTTACCCTGCCTATTATCAACAAAAATCGTCATTTGTTGGTGTCTTGTCATTTAAAGTACTTCCAAACATCAAAATATGCTTGCTTCGATAGACGTAAAAATCCCGTCTTCATTTGCATGTGTTTTCGACGATTCTGGAATATCAAGTCTGGAAGATATTCCTCAGAGATCGTCAAATAGCGCAGTTGTCATCTGTCGAGTGGTCAGAGTGGTGGTATTTTTAGCGCTATTCTTCAGATTCTTGCTATGTTTCTAGCCAGTAGGTTGCTATTTCGTCTTTGCAAAAAATGTGAACTCTTTTCCGCCACCTTCTCTGAAAATTCGCTGTCTTGATAAAATTTCAAAACAAGCGCTCTGCTGTGAAGAAAATTTGGTGAGTGTTCTGAGTATTCTTTTGATCTTAATGTCTATATTAACTTGGATAACAGGGAAAGAGCTAGAACGAGAATTAAATAGCAATAGAGACTAATTTCCTGGGAAGAAAAAGGTCAAAAATTATACCTTGGGTGAGAAAATGAGAAATGCTAGCGGCTACCAAGGTGAAAATGAGCGGCAGTGAAAAAAACAGAGTGAACAAGAACACAATCATTTCCTCCATAAACGTGTAAATAGGAAGTTAAAAGAAGTTTCACGTTTTAGTTGTGCAAAACAACGGCAAGGAAATGTTCAAAAAAGTGTGCTTCAGCTGCAAAGTTGTTTTTTTTGCTAATTAGTTAAAAAAAAAGGGTGCTGCACGTGCGAAGTTGTTTTTTTGCTAATTAGTTCTATTGTTGTTGTTTTTTACCGTTCTCGTTATTTTCACCTTACCTTGTCTTTATTACTACTCGATTTTATATTTTCTTTGAGGAAACTATTAATATTAAAGAGAGCTTCGCTCTAAGCCCTGGCTAAATCTAAATATTATCTTTATTTTCATATAATGCTTCATCCAATCAAATGCAGTATGAGACTCCCCCGTGAACATGTATTCATGTACGTTTTGAACAAAGGACAATTACTTAAGAAGTCGCTTCAAGTGCATGCTGGGAGAATTTGTATGAACATATCTTTAGTGTGAATAAAGAATTAATCAGTTTGAATTACAACTATATACTTAGATATTACATATCTATATAACTAACTGCAGACAGTACTATATATATTTTACGTATTCGTTCTCAAACAGGCAAACTTCCAACTGCAGTAAGACTAGTATCATTAGCATCGTAGTAAGTGTCGGAGGTAGAGGTCATTGAGACAGGCTGAGATTGTAAATTATCTCCGTCGGCTTGCGGACCGTTCAAGTCACCATTTCGCCCATCCATTCCATCTCCATTTAGTAGACCTTCTCTTTCCCGTTCCCTCCCTCTTCTATTGACGTCTCCTCCACTGATTGATCGGAACACAATAAAGATTGCCAAAAAAAAAAATAATACGGATCCAGCAGCGATGCACACTGGTACTCCGATGTCTTTCCAGTCATTAGGGGCGCTCGCTGGAAATTTCAATAAAGGAGATATTCTGATTAGAAAGGGCAATGCAAAAGATTAGGACATTGACATTCTTACTTAGTTCTTGCATGCCTTTTGTGATTCTTTCTTTGCAATACTCTCTGTTCACAGTTGAAAAATTGAAGAACTAGTTGAAAGAAAGAAAAATAGTAGCGAGGAGAATGTCATATCTTTCGAGTGCCGCTTTTCACACAGTCTAGCATCTAGAGCGGTTACATTCATTGAGCCTCTAGTTTAACGGCTCCCTTCAACGGCCACTTCTCGACCCTGAGGAGAGGTTCACCTTCATTTAGACTACCCCGGTAATGTATCAAGAACATAACATCACTAAAATTACGACCTGACCAGAGGCACTGGTCCCTAAGATTGAAACCACACTGCCAGCCTTTTTGCTAAATCGATTTTGGCGTACTTTAGAAATACTCTGCATGAATGAAATAAGAACTTTGTTGAGCATACACTGCATGTTGCCAAGATATAGTGGGATAGAGCTTCATGTAAACGTGACGCGCCGCAAACTTACTTGTGGAACTACTAGTACTACTCGTACTCGTACTAGTGAATGTATTTTCACAACCATTTGCACAGGCACACTTGTGCTCCAGAAGAAATATCTGAAAACCAAAAGTATGACATGTTACTTTGTCACGATTTTTGCCGACAGAAAAAAAAAAAAGGAAATTCACTGTTCCCGGTTTTTCACTATACTAAGGACTTTACTAACGACGACACGCAGGAAAACTTACCCAGGGGCTCTCAGTATCTTGAATAAGGCTGAATTTTGCTTCGTCGACTCGTACCAATGTGTGATTACATTGAAGCTTGATTATCACTTTCCACCCTGGCCTGAGGATTGAAATTGGCTCTTGTTTACTTGACTTTATTTCCATGTTTCATATTATCACAGCTAAACCATTGTTATTCTGGTTACTTCAAGGTCACATAACATCTAACAATGAAACTGTTTCCCCGCCAAAATCTCTGAGCGGGCAACATTGAAAAAAATCTATGACGTCAGAGGATAACAATGCAATGTTACCCGCGAATATTGACCGACGATCGCCGTTACAGCGAGGTTTAATGAATTTCCAGAAATTACCAAAATTAACTGTTTCCCGAGAAACCAGTCATCAAGTGTTAAGTGTTCATTATGATTAGACGGCCGATATACAGCTTGGACTGGCTTGCAAGCAAGCTTTCCGAGATATGTCCAGAAATGCACGCATTGGCGAAAATGGCAGAAATGGTGCTTAATCGCCAAAATCGCCAAACTGTAAACAAAAATTCAAATGAGATGGCAAAGGGGCCCTTTGGAAAGTGGCGATTTTGGCGAAAATGGCGTATTTGGCGAAAATGGCAGAAATGGCACTTAATCGCCAAAATCGCCAAACTGTAAACAAAAATTCAAATGAGATGGCAAAGGGGCCCTTTGGAAAGTGGCAATTTCGGCGAAAATGGCGTATTTGGCGAAAATGGCAGAAATGGCAATTAATCGCCAAAATCGCTAAACTATAAACAAAAATTCAAATGAGATGGCAAAGGGGCCCTTTGGAAATTGGCGATTTTGGCGAAAATGGCGTATTTGGCGAAAATGGCAGAAATGGCAATTAATCGCCAAAATCGCTAAACTATAAACAAAAATTCAAATGAGATGGAAAAGGGGCCCTTTGGAAAGTGGCGATTTCGGCGAAAATGGCGTATTTGGCGAAAATGGCAGAAATGGTGCTTAATCGCCAAAATCGCCAAACTGTAAACAAAAATTCAAATGAGATGGCAAAGGGGCCCTTTGGAAAGTGGCGATTTCGGCGAAAATGGCGTATTTGGCGAAAAAGGCAGAAATGGCGCTTAATCGCCAAAATCGCCAAACTATAAACAAAAATTCAAATGAGATGGCAAAGGGGCCCTTTGGAAAGTGGCGATTTCGGCGAAAATGGCGTATTTGGCGAAAATGGCAGAAATGGTATTATTAATCGCCAATTCGCCAAACTGTAAACAAAAATTCAAATGAGATGGCAAAGGGACCCTTTGCAAAGTGGCGATTTCGGCGAAAATGGCGTATTTGGCGAAAATGGCAGAAATGGTATTATTAATCGCCAAAATTGCCAAACTATAAACAAAAATTCAAATGATATGGCAAAGGGGCCCTTTGCAAAGTGGCGATTTCGGCAAAAATGGCGTATTTGGCGAAAATGGCGGAAATGGCGATTAATCGCCGAAATCACCAAATTATAAACAAAAATGCAAACGAGATGGCAAAGGGGCCCTTTGGAAAGTGACGATTTTGGCGAAAATGGCGTGCACTAATTCTGTATCTTTTCATCAACCACAAATGAAAAAAATATATAGAGTGCATGTTGGCCTCGTTCTTAAAACGTGTTTTGGCAGAAATGGCAATTACTCAATGAAATACCTAATTTGTCAAGACAAATTGAAATGACATAGCAAAGGGTCCCTTTTGAAATGGCTATTAATTGCCAAATAGTTAACCACATATTAATATAAAAATGTTTCCAGTAGTATAATTGTATACTAATAATGACAACGCTACTGTAACTTAAGTGTCATTAATCTGTTTTTAATGCTTTTACCTTTAATTGATAACCTCTTGTGATTTGAAATTCGTCCCAGACAAGAGTGTTTGGTCGGGAATTACCACTTATAACTAATTTCTCGCTCAATTCAAATCGAATGGCCAACGAGTTGTATTCGATTATCAGTAAATGGTAATCTTCGTAATGTTCATGGCAACTTTCTTACCAAAAAATCCAAGATAGGTATCCTTAATTTTCCAGGCTTATAGGCATTGTTTGAATAGCGACAGTTCAACATTATATGTTATGAGGAATCCAGGTTGGTTCTTGGCTACGCATTCAGATAATTAGATGGTCCTTATTGCCTTGTATATCCATCCTGTTTGTTATAATGGCGTTCAATCGTACAAGTATATATAAACGAGCTGGTTCATTGCAGTTTCACAGAACATGAACGTGTAAGCTTTAGTAGCTGTTATATAGACGCGGCGGGCATGTTGAAATAGTCGATTTTGGATAACTACTCTATGTAAGTAAAAACGATTAGTGTCATTCCCGGCCGACTTTGGTGGTCACTCTATGTAAGCAAAACGACTAATGTCGTTCACCGGGACTCTCACGGAATTGTTAAAATACCTTGAAGGTAAAAAGGCCGGGTGACGTGTTTCGACGAGCATTAGCATTAGCAATTTAATGGAACACATATTGTACTGAGAATTGGTTTGGTGGTCTCAGCGCAAAAAAACAATACATTTTCTAAATTTCTGGCCCCACCTCATAAAGCAATAATGGGACACATTTTTTAAGAACAAGACAAACATGTACACTCTCTTTTTATATATCTAGTTGGTGAAAAGATACAGAATTAGTTTGAATAGGATATGTTTTATGAAAGAGACAAACAAGTTATTACTTTGATCCAATGTTTATGTTCAATAAATGCAGTGAAGTATTGAGCACAAGTGACATTTCGTGCAGGTTTACATAAATCAAAGGCGGCCCAGACGTAGTATGTGTCACTGAATGAATATATTAATATTCACATGGACAAATTAATGCGATGAGTCGTCGAAACTGCCATGGACTAAAATAGTCCAAACGTCAAAATATAACAAAACAAAGCTAAGATACCTTCAACTGAACGTATCCTTGTCTTTCCTGGCCGGTTTAAGTGGCATTTTGTTGAGTTTTGCAATTGTAGGTACTATCCACTAAAGAAGAATTAATGGCTGGCCACAAAACAAACAGACCATCTCCACGCGCCGTCACACGAAGCGCTATAAATTCGAGAATAATCGACGAATCCGCTCCAAATAACCATCGGCTAATCTGCAGGTAACGTGTGCTCCTGCTTCCGGCTCGCTTGCTCCACAAAACCCATCGCAACTGCACAACAATTGCTCGCTCATTAACAACCAATGATGACCTTTACGCTTCGATATGACCGTAAACGACCAGGTTTAATACGCGACGTGAATATTCAAGCTTAGCGACCGCGTTGCCACAACAATGCAGCACTTGCTATGGGAGGGATGGTACTATTGCTTCTAGGTCAATCAATCGGGAAAATAGTATTGAAGCCCTTGTAATTTTTAAAAAGATCCAATTTGCCCTAGGAGCACTGAACAGATACGAATCTTATAGCGGAGCTAAAAAAAATGAGCGGCAGTGGAAAAAGTGAACAAGAACATGTACCACATTTTCTCCATAAAAAGTGAAAACCAGGAAGTTTTCTGGACGTTTCAGGTTGCAGTCATGCAAATCAACGGCAAGGAAATGTACAAGAAAGTGTGCTGCAATTAGACCTATTTTTGTTTTTCACAGTTCTGGTCAAGGGCATCCAACTTTTAATTTTTCACATTTCACTCACCGGGTTAGGCTATTTTTCGTAGAGAGTAAAATGGAATCCTAAAATTTTCGGATTCAAAAATGTGATGAAAGAAGGTATCTGAAAAATTATCTCCTTCGTAATACGTTAAATTGCATCTAAAATTTTCCGGAAAATAATTCTGAATTCCTCGTAATTTCGAAAAGACTCAAGTTCCTCTAGAATGGCCGGGCGCCGAACACTGAGATGCAAATTTTATAGTGCCACTTAGAATGCATTTCTATAGAGCTAAAAGTACTTTATGAATAGCTACAAAAGTGTTTTCAATTGAAAGTATTTCAGGAAACAGTCGTTGAGTGGCCCTGTCTCGTTGCCTTCTCCGCTTAGCATTACACGATATATTTTATATTTACTATGAGCAAACTATAAATCATTAGCTTCGCTTTTAGCCCTCCTGACTAAATTTATGTAAGCGCTGTTTAGAATGCATTTTTTCGGTCAAAAGTACTCTGGACAGCCTTAAATGTTTTTTCAATGCATTTAGGGGGAAATCATCGTTGGGTGCCCCTGAGCCGTTTGAGAATAATAATAATAATAAAAAGAGATATCGCGCACATAAATTTTACTTTACGATATCTTCAGCTGTATCTTCTATTCAGCTGCATAGCGGGGGCCAGATTTTGCCTTTTTCCTGGGCGGAAAATTCTCGTCCTCCTTCACCAGTTTGGACAACGTATTATGGAGTAAGACGTTGTTAATCTAAGCAAATAAAGTGGACGAACAATGTGACAGCAGCTGAGAATACCAGGGCTGCCCTGTTGAAAACTTACGGACGGTCCCGCGATCGCCTTTTGTTTTCTGGTCAAAACTAACGCAGCGAACCTTCGGTCAGTCGATTGACCTAGAAGCAATAGTACCATCCCTCCCATAGCAAGTGCTGCATTGTTGCGCGAACGCGGTCGCTAAGCTTGAATATTCACGTCGCGTATTAAACCTGGTCGTTTGCGGTCATATCGAAGCGTAAAGGTCATCATTGGTTGTTGATGAGCGAGCAATTATTGTGCAGTTGCGATGGGTTTGTGGAGCAAGCGAGCCAGAAGCAGGAGCACACGTTACCTGCAGATTAGCCGATGGTTATTTGGAGCGGATTCGTCGATTATTGTCGAATTTATAGCGCTTCGTGTGACGGCGCGTGGAGATGGTCTGTTTGTTTTGTAGCCAGCCATTAATTCTTCTTTAGTGGATAGTACCTACAATTGCAAAACTCAACAAAATGCCACTTAAACCGGCCAGGAAAGACAAGGATACGTTCAGTTGAAGGTATCTTAGCTTTGTTTTGTTATATTTTGACGTTTGGACTATTTTAGTCCATGGCAGTTTCGACGACTCATCGCATTAATTTGTCCATGTGAATATTAATATATTCATTCAGTGACACATACTACGTCTGGGCCGCCTGTGCATAAATTGGAAATAAGCGAATTCACACATTTCAAAATGGCGCATGCAAGCTGCTGGACATTTCGGCTTTCGTTACTTTTAGGGGACCGTTTCTCTAAAGAGCAAAACAAGTAAGTGCGAGAAGAAAGTGAAGAGTTTAAAACGACGGAAGAAGATAATGTGTATAGTGGAGAACCAAAAAAGAATGAAGGGCACACACTGGTTATCGTGAAAGCATCTTTTAGCCAGGAACCATGCGTTTCGCAATCGCTTTTGATTTAAGGCTGCCTCACAATTTAATGGAACCAATGTGAAGAGAATTGTAACCAGTGAGGATTGTTAAGGTCTACATCGAACCTCAAAAGTTAGAGTGTCCATGGCAAGGAATTATTATGATTTCAAGGACTTGGTAGTTCTCTCCTCGAGTAATTAGTGGACTTGTAAGTCTTCGAAAGGAATGAACCATACAAAAGCAAATGATGCTAGTGTGATATTTCAGCGCATCACATCACTTTTGGTAAGTCAAGCGACATCGAAAGTAAGGAAATGTTTACTAAATCTGTGAAGTACATGGCACAAATACATATTTGCTTAACTGAAACGACTTCCATTTGTTGTTTTCAGATATATTTGATTCAGTTGTATTTGATAAAATAATGTTGTTTGACAGTTAGGTAAAGCTGTTTTGTCATATATTTGATTCAGTTGTATTTGATAAATGTTGCCTCACAGTTATTGGGGCCTCTTATTAGGCAAGTAATTTGAACTTTTTTTTAGTAGTTGCCTCACAGTTATAAGGACCTCTTTAGTTATCTACTTTGAAGGGGCCACTTTTGGCATTCAATTTGAATATTTTGCCACATATCGCCAGCCCTCTGGCGATTTTTGCCAAAATCGCCATTTTCACCAAAATCGCCAGCCTCCAAGGGGCCACTTTTGGCATCCAATTCAAATCGCCAGCGGCTGGCGATTTTTCGCCAGTTTCGCCATTTTCGCCATTGCATGCATTTCTGGACATGAGTGAGCTCTCCGGGCGGCTCTCAGGGGTGGGGGAGAAAAATTGAGCCTCCAATGGAGCTTGCCCGCAGGCAGGCTAACTTTGACTTAGAGAATCAAGTTATCTTGCTTCCAGTGGTGATTCGTAAAGTTCAAAACGACTAAGTAACATCGGAATAAAATAACGTTAATTTTTTTGAGCCATTTCTGAAATACAACCGTCGAAAAATCATGTACCTAAATTGAGAAACCATGCTAGAAAAGCTATAGTCATAAAAACCATATTATTCTCATAACGGATTGTTTCTCACCAGTTACCGGTAATGAGAAAAAGAACTGTTTTTATTTTTTATTTGATACATTTAGCTTATGTCCACACGAATTTGTATACTTTTAAAACTGCATATGTTTAGTTTTACACGAATCGGCCATCCGTCCACACTAAACTAGTGAATCCGCTGACAAAAACCGCAACTGTTTGAAAGCAGAGGCTCCCGCTGGGTGTCCCAATAAAAATAGGAATAATAAAAAAATAGAAAGCGCGCGGGGACGATGGGATCTTCCCTCTTCCCATCGTGCTGCCGCACTTTCTTTTATTTTCGCTAAAGCCTCGTTACGACAATGAGAGAGTCGCCTCGGACGGGAATATATATTCACCCGGATGAAAAAACAGCCCCAAACAAACAAGCAAACAACAACAGCAACAAACAAAACAACAACAGACTAGAGATATAGAAAATAAAAAAACTTTTGAAAACATCCCTTCAACTGCTGAGGAAAAGGCAAATGCACTGAAGAGAGTCTATGCTGAGAACTTAGATATTCAAAAAAAATAAATAATTGAATTCTGTTTTCGCATAATCTGTGAAAGTATGCAGGAGGTCGATCGAGGACGATGTTATCCACCTCGGTCGATAACACCCCTTCAATCTCCCCCTCATTCTTCAAATCTTATAAAAGCTGAATTTTTAAATTGTTAATGAATCCGACACATACTGGTTAAAGCTGTATTCAAATTGAGGCTTGTTGTGGCGTTGACTGTCATTACCGCATGAAAATGTGCTCTGTTTTCCTATCACCTCGTAGCTTGCATTGTTCATAGGCCACCTACAAACCTGAAATGTGTTGAAAGCACTGAGTTGTAAACTGAGAAAATCATAAAACTAGCAGTTATTGTAGATTATACGGTGCGTCGCCTAGGGTCTTAGACACCTGTATCGGTTCCCACAAAGCATCTTAATCCTTTTTTTCCTACACTGAGTTGTGAGGAGTTCATTTCTCACACCGCAGGAATTTCATTTGAAGAAGAAGCAAGAAAGATCCCCAATTAAACAGGAAACCACGAGGAAGCAGAGATCCAAAGGTTGTGAAACGCACTGGGAACTACTTTTGTGACGTTTCAAGATGGCGCAGATTTGGAACCGACACACCGACAACCTCTTTTCTCGATTTCTCGCGCTTGGAACATGCACAGGCCGCCGACGAACACAAACAACAGCCAACCTCTCAATTAGAAAGCGTCTCCTTCGTCGACGCAATTATTAGACCATTAATCGAGCAACCCTAGTTATTGAAAGTCACATAAAGTACATTTTAAAGGTTTTCTATTACCTGTACACAATAAAGTAAATAATACTGTTTACAAATGGAACATCCTTTAGTAAGTTATCTACATTTGATGGCAAGGCAATGTACACAATTCAAACGAGATGGACAATGGATGAAATATTGAAAGATTTTTTGAGACATGTAGAGCAATTTCACAAGACGTTAAGGCCGCCATATTGGTTTTCCAAAACAAAAAGCGCGGATGTTTGTGTCTCAAACCAGGAGCCCATAACCAAACCAGTGTTGTGGGACTTAAAATTTTTCTTATGAAAACACTTTCTTTTTTTTCCATGAATAGTAAATTTGTATCAGGGTTTTTGCCAGATGAGTAACAAGGCCCGAAATTGATACTTTCTAGATATACCGCTTATTTTCTTTCCTACTTCATCTCTTTTGAGTAATGCTCACGCGAGGCCAACAAAATTGTAGGTCTCAGATTTTAAGCACTTACAGCCACATCATGACCTTGAGAGTTTCCACACCAGAATGAGCTGCAAGGATTATAAGAATAATCCCAGCTTTCTCCACCTGCTACGGTAAATCTGTTGAAAAAATAAAATAAGAGATTTAATTAGTAAAGTAAATCAATAGTTTGAAGATCACTTTGGTCAGAAATAGCATAGTCAGTAAAAATCGCAGGGTTTTTGTTCTTCGCGAACGCGCATAAGCCAAAATTTGGACTTAAATTTTTGGCAAATATTTATTTTAGGGGAGGGGGAAATTTAGTCTACAAAGAGTGGCATGTAAATAGCATAATCGGCAGTGGAATTTTGTCTAAAATGTTACTTGGTTTTTTCTTGTTTGAAACTCTGTCAGGATTGCTCAGAATTTCCAAAGCAAGATATCGCTAGACGTTCCTGGTGACTAACGCAATAGCATAAACCGAAAACTAAATTGGTCTAAATATACATCGTTCTATATGGAGAAAAAAACGACCCTCGCCGTCCGAAAAGGGTTAAATTCAGTTCAGCTTGGTTTAATGATATTGTAAATCATTACTTACATAGCGCTATCGTAGATCTAATGCGCTTGATTTACAATATGAACTAAATTAAACGAGCTATGAATTGTAAATGAATTACAACCTCGTCCGCAGGGTTTGCCCTTTCTTAAGGGAAAAGCCCTGGGGATGAAGAAAAAAGAAAGGCTAATTTAAAGTATTTGCAAAATGACAGCCACCTTATGCATCTATTTCTTGCATTACAAACCTGGGTGTTCCATCTTTACTTTGCAAGGGAGCGAGGTTGAACAATCCGTGTTTATTGTAACAGGCGCAGTTGTAATAAGACGCTGGTATTGTTCTGTTGCCACTTGTTCTTTGATATTGAAGTGAAGAGTACAGTAAGACTGACCACATAACACGAGTGATCCACATACTTGATGGCATGGTACTAAAAATCATTGAAAATTCTTCATCAGAACTGTATTTAACTATTTTGCGCTGGCTATCCTTGTTAATAGTGTTTCAGTTGACGAGGAAATAGTTTATTACCGGTAGGTAAACATAATATAAAAATGATACTTTTTCCTCTCACATCTCCTAAAAACGAATTTATTTTCATTAAAAAAAAGTGGGTATCTTGAAAGCAGATGCTGCTTTGGCCACCAAACACATCCTAGAAGTAGTACGTAGCATCTATTTTAGTATAGTGACGCATATAATAGGTAGAATTAGTTTCCGGGAGATTCCCTTTCTTCTCAGCAATACGTAGCAGTTACAGTCGATCCACAGAAACCAGGGTATCCATGTGGCTTCACTTAAATTAAATGAAGATGGTTACGATCAAGACCTAGATAGTCAGCAGAACTTCTTTTTTCTTCTTAACCTCGTTTTTCATCGTGAAGATATCATGTTTTATAAGACTCCCATTTGTAAAATTAGCAAAGAAGTTAGGACCGTTTCAAACGTCGTGCTATTGCCGTGCTTAGCTGGCTCGACTGTAGGTCCTGTAGCTCGACTGTAGCACGACACTAGCCCGACTTGATTTCAGACGTCGAATTTAATATTAAGTCAGTCGAATAGAACGGCTGTTGCCTAAAACAAAGCGCAAAAAGAAAGAAACGGTATAGCAAACTCCTAAATGTATTCTAATGTAATTATAATTTATGAATTGAGTTCGGCACTTCGGTAGCACGACGTTTGAAACCAAGTCGAGCTACTGCCGTGTTGCACGTTAAGGCTTGCCGTGCTACACGGCAGTAGCACAACTTGGTTTCAAACGTCGCGCTATTGCCGTGCTAAAGTCGAATTTAACTCGATCAACTGAGTTCGGCACGGCAGTAGCACGATCGACGTTTGAAACGGGCCTTAGATTGCACTTCCGCTTTCATTTTGATGTAACAGCAAAGTAGATGCAAAATGCATGACTTCGCCGATCTCTGTTATCCATTTTCTTTCCATTTGTATCTAACTCGCTTTGCCAAAAAGGAAGCTTAACAAAATTTCTACATGCATTGCAGTTTTTATCAAAATTATTTATGAGCATTGACTTCCGCCCTGTTGCCCAAAGGTAATACAAAGAACTTAAATACAGACCTCGCTTACCTTCAGGCAGTAACAAAAGTGAGCACCCAAACCTCGGTAATCATTGTTCGGTTTTTCCTTCAATGCTTGTTAAATTTGTTAATTCTTGTTTTAATATCATAACCAAAGAGTTACAAAACGGCGCTAAAAGAAGGGACAGACACCGGTCGTGTTGTCAGCGGATGTCTCCCTGCACTGCATTACAGTATAAAGGTCTTTACAGGTTTTACGTAACGCAATCTTCTAGCTTTTTGATATGTGTCTCTACTACTGTGTATTCACTTATTAAGCCATATATAGAAGATATTACATGGCCGCTTGGAGATACGAAATTTCTCTTCGCGTGTTTCGTAATGTTCTATTTATTATGTAAACACCAATGAAATACCAAACCATTTCACTTAAGGTGTCTGAACACAGTTTTGGCAGTTTGTAGGTATATGTCATTTGCCAAATCATGGCAAGAGAAAGGTTGCAGCTCACAAGGTAAAACATGGCAAGTGAATAATATAGTGATAAAAGATTTTGACCGACAGGTAAAATGTAACGTTTTCGTAGTTTCCATGGCAACATGGGCGATTGAATACAACCTTAAAATTTCACTTCCGCTCAGTTTGCATAAAATTAGCTCATTAGATTCTCCTATAAACTTGCATACAGCTTATTATAATTAATCATTACCATTTGAAACTTATATGACCAAACTTAAACCCACGAGTTTTTAGATAATCAATAATATAACTGTTCCGTAATGATTAAATGTGTCAAAAAATTCGTGTGTTCAACTTCCATTTTAAAGTTCTCATCATTTAAAATACAAGTAAAAATTCTGCCAAATACTAGTATCACGAAGTTTTAATGAGTAGATTTTGAGAAATCGTCTTCTGTGTACCATTGCTTTTTCGCCGCCATGTTTGTAACACGAGCCGTCAAGCGAGTTACCGCTAACCGCCCGCAAAACTGTGTTCAGCCACCTTAAATAGTTGTTTTCCTGCGCAAGGCGCGATTTATTATGTAGCCATAGCAACGGTGACGTTTTCACATGAGGGTTTCAATGGGGTATAGCTGTAGTCACAGTAAACAGTGAAAAAATGCTACTTAGTCAGTAAACAGTTCAAAAATCGCTACTTAGCAAGTAAGCAGCAAAAAACATTTAGTCAGGTAATTGGGCATGTTTTGAGTCCCGCAGACGTTTTTGGCCGTTTATAGCGTAGTTTTTTCCCTTTTTCGCTAACCCTCAAGACTCCCCAAAATAAGTTTAATCTCACTTTCCAGTTTTCAATTTTTTTGAACACTTTCGAAGCAGCCTGAATATTCGTTTCTTTCAAGAGGTCTTAAAAATTCAGCCTAACCACTGCTTTTATTTGTCTGCCGTTTCGCGTTTTCAGGGTTGAACTTACCACAACATCACTCTTCATATCCTCATCCTCACATAGTTGAGGCGAAGATAAATTGGAAGCAAAGTCAGAGTTATATTTACCCTGGGTGCCAGAGACTTTTCTAGCGCGGTTTCCGGTTTCTGTCATACTCTTCGCTGACTTCCTCTTCCTCTCTTTCAATGACTTCTTCTTCCACATTGCTGTTGAGAGGATTTTGTGGTATGTTTATAGCCCATAGGTTATAAACAATGTGCCAGCTGACTCATACATGTAAATTCTGATGCTTTTAGAAGACCGTAAATGGCTATAAAGCCACAAAACATTATTCTTCGCTTTTATCACTAATCGATGCAGTATCTTCTTTGTTACTTTTCTAGGTAATAAACCGGGCCCGGTTACTCGAAGGGTGTGTTGACATCACAAGTTCTCTACCCAAACGGCTCGGATCTCCTTATTAATGGTGGCTCAAATCATGTCAAATACCTACTTACATCAACCACCGTTTGAAGAAAATAATAAAAATAATAAAAAAAACTATAGTTGTAAATGAAATTGCAAGGAATAAAAAGCAGGCCCGTAGGGAGAGGGGGTGCGACGGGTGCGCTCGCACTTCCCCACAGTCGCAAGAGGTCCACTTTTTTTATTGATCAGGGATTTAAAACAAAGTGAAGTAACAGTATTGTTCTATTCTAATTTACAGATTGTGTACTGAAATTGAAAATGCTGTAAAAGCGGTACCAAGCCCCCCTCTTATCAACAGTAAAAAGCAATTATGAGAGAATATCACCGCAGTTATAGACGCAACTTTTGCAGTTGCGAAAAGAAAGCCTGAAAAAAAATTCAGGCTTGTACGGGATTCGAACCCTTGGATGCCCAGGGGGAATGAGCACCTTTCGTTTGTATTTTCGAGCGCTTTCCGGGATATTTTTTTCTTAAATTTTTCTTAGAATAAGATTTTAATGGGAAAAAAAGATCCTTGTGCCGTGTTTGGATGTAATAATGATCGCCTTTTTCTAGTTTAGTATTAGAAATATGGTCTTTCACTGTATATTTTCGGGAAAAAGGCGATCATTATTACATCGTCAACGCGGCACAAGGATCTTTTTTCCCATTCTAAGAAAACTTTAAGAAAAAATGTCCCGAAAAGTGCTCGAAAATACAAACGAAATGTGCTCATGCCCCCTAGGCATCCTATAATACTCCTTAAATCGAATTAATTCAATATGGCCGCCGTATCGGTAAAAAGGTCTATTGAGCTAACAAGCCAACAGGAAGCAGGTCGTTAAATTGGTTGAATTCGTTATAAACCCGTGGTTTTTTACAAACTGGTATGGCAGAGGTCGAGGGTTCGAATCCCGTACAAGCCGAATTTTTTTCAGGCTTTCTTTTCGCAACTGCAAAATTTGCAACTATAAATGCGATGATGTCGAAGGTTGAGAGAATAGTTGTTGTTGTATCATGCGTTTTGTGGAGACGGTTTTTTTTTATAGCGACTTTTTTTGATGTTGAAAGTATACCAAGTTTCACCACACCATTTTAATTTTTTATATTAATTTCCAGCCATTTCAAAGGGCTTAAATTTAAAAATTTTCCGGATAGCATGCCCCTTGACCACCCCAGGTGACTCACGCTATTAAAACACATTCGAAGCGAGCCCCTCCAGTTGCAACCTTGATAACTCAAACAACTAAAGCTCCCCCTCCCCCTAGAGACTTGCCCCTTCCGGCCTTATTTGGTCCGTCTCCTCGTTGGATCGCACCTCCCCGTAGAAAACCCGGCTACGGGCCTGACAAGTAGTTTTTCATATACAATACTGCCATGATAATCAAGCGAATCATGTTGGCATCATCATTGTCATCTTCACCATCTTTTATTCACACTATTCAGATACAGAAAACAAAATAGAAAATACAAAGGAAACTATAGGAACAACATGGTATAGATTATACAACTAAACATAAACAATTTTCAAATCAGTGTGCAGTTGACTGATGCTTATTTGCAAATAAGGAAAGGAACGAAGGAAAAAGAATAACATTCTTCAACCCAGACGTTTTTCTCGGTTCTTTTCTTGCGTAGACATTTGCAAGAGCGGGAGCTCTTGAAAACATGGCCGTCCGCTATAGTTGTTAGTTTGTGTCGATTTTGATGTGAAAAGCGCAAGTAACGTGAGGAATAATGCTAATAATATCATTAAGAAGTGCAAATGGTATAATAAAATAAGAAATTAGACTACTAGCGAATATTACGTAGCAAACTCATCTGTTCCGGCTGCTTTAACCTATGAACTGGCAAGATTCTTTTGAGTAAGCTATTTGTTTAAAAATTCTGCAACATTTTTTTCTGTACATGTAGGAGTGTCCATACTTAAGAAGACGAGTTAATTGGGAAAAGTGTTCAAGCATTGGACATTGTTACGCAGACGCACTTTGCTTGTTGAACTCGTCTTTACTCTTAGACACGGTGATATCGCAAGATTTTGTCGTCAGTGGTTCAGATCTCTCTTCTCCTATTGGGTTAATATAACTATCGATTTCAGATGGGGCTGGTTCAGCATGTCTATCAACGAGGTGTCTTCTTTCGTTGTTGCCTTGATCAACTTCATCGATCCCATGAGGCAGTCGCTGGCGTCGCCGACGTTTATAGTACACAAATCCAGCAACTGCAAGAAGAAATCCACCCGCGCCAATTGGGATAAAGATTTCTTCCATTAGCTCATTCTGACCGCTTGGACCTGTTCAAAGAAAATGATAAGTTTCGAAAAGTTTCAAGAACTGTGCGTCCCAAGACAAGGAATTCTTTCCTGGTTATTCAGGCAAGGATTATATTTTAAAGGGTTCAAATATAAACCGATAAATGGTTATTTTTTGAAAATTGTTTTAAAAAATTGCGCATTGTCTTTGTTAAAAAAGTCTCCGAAAATCGGAATAAAAACAAAACGTCCTCTAGAATTTTCTAATGAAAGTAAGGCTACCCCACGTCCTTGAACTTTCGACTGAACCCATCAGAGTAGCTAACAGTTTCGAAAGACACTAAAAAGCGCCAAAAACCTTCGGACAGATAAATAGTTTTAAAGGCAGCTCCACTCAACGAAACAGAATTCTAAAGTGTAGAAAGAACTATTGAGACACCTATGACGTATATGGAAACATTTGGTCATTGAATGTCCCTGCATTAGGCTCGGGTCGAAACTGTGCCCCGGAAACAAGCAGAAAAAGCTCAACAAAGACTTCAGTTGAATCCTGCAGAGCCTTTCTCGAGTACGCCAAAATAAAGTAAGTGAACGAAAGGCTCTGCCATAGAGTGGATAGAACTCTTTCTTTAGCGCAAAGCTTTTCTCACGACAGCCATAGTTCTGCGTAAATCAGAACTAAAGAAGAAGCGTTAAGTCTATTTTAATTATTATTATTATTATATTATTACAAAAATTATCTTAGGATCTTTTCCAGATGATTGCTTCTACAATAGTTCCGCTATTTCTTGTTCGCAAAACGTTTTAAATTTTCCGCCATTTTCTACAACTCTACCAAAAAAATGCAGCCTCGTCCTAAGGGCTTCTCGGTTGAGTTCCTTTTTTGAGGCGATTATTTTCCGGATATCCCAAACGTCTTCCAAATTGGATCAACGTAAGCTGGTTGTGCAGAATTAGCTGTGGGATTTGAGCTAATCAGAAACGAAACATATTTTAAAGAAATAATGATGATAGTTATAAGCACTGGCTTAAAGTCGTGTTGCCTGGCATCCCAAAAAAGCACCTGTGCGTCACACTAGATGACGTCAACTGCTGACACCAACATACATATAGAATTATTAGTTATTCAAAGAAATGTCATTTCAGTATTCTTAGATCCATTTACAGGGAGTGAAGAAGAGTTAAAGTAACAATTAGAGTAATCCGTACATCGTAAGCGTCTTCCAAATTTGGTCATCGCTAGCTGGTTATGAAAAATTAACCGGATAATTTAGCTTACTTGAATGAACACTAGGATCACTGGAACTAGTAGGATCAGGTGGATCAATCAAACAAGTATTTGGACATGCGCACTTGTGGGTGAGATTAAAAATCTGCGGAGTAAAAGCAAACCAATTAGTACAAGCTACCTACCTTGAAATTTTTCACACTATTTTTTCCTCCTGTCGCTAATTGTTTGGTAGTTGGATGATTGCCTGTAGATAATCTTAGTTAATATTAAACAAGTATTCTATAACGAGGGTAAAACGAACACCAAAACGTGCAAATTGTCTTGCAACATTACTGCAAAATGAAATGAAAAGCAATGTTGAGCGTTTTATATACCACCTATTAAGTTCAAACCTGTTTGCAACTAATCAGGTTGTGACATGTTGCGTTAATACTACTACTAATAATTAATAATAATTTACATTTCTAGTGCGCAATTTTTCATTAAATGTTCAAGTGCGCATGACATATGCGCAATGACTGATTTCTGATTGGATAAAATTGCTTTGGAGTTACACCATGCAAAGAAGTTATTTTATGTCATTTTTGGCAAAACAAGTTTGCTTTGGGCCAGTAAAAACGCGCAATATGTACAGATTTTTTTTGGAAAAAGTACAACTACTCTCTACTTTCTGCAACAACTTTTCGCAACCTGCAACAACCTGATTTGTTGCAAGACAGGTTTGATTCGTTTTTGTTAAAATGCGCAATATCGTTATTCAACTCGTTTTACAGCAATGTTGTAAATCAAGTTGCACGTTTCTGTTGGCCGTTTTACCGTCCCTTAAACAAGACAACGTTGCAATTTGCAGCAAAAACTAAACCCTCCTTTTTAAACACGGCCTCGCTTTCTAAAATATTTTTTAACCTGAATCATATTTCAATTGACAAAGATCCGTTAAGTAAAGGTATTTTTACTCGAACTAAAATAGAAATAAACTTATAGCAGGCAAAATTATGTAAATTTCGCAGTTATTGAACCGATTTTTAGTTTTATCTCGACTTACCCATTCATTTTCAACGTTCACGATGTCAAATATTGCGTCCTCGATCGTTGGATCGCATATAAGTATGACTTTGGGCTTCCAGGTTACAATTTTGCTAGCAAATTTAATACAGAGATAAATCAACTAATTATTATTGTGTTGTTATAATAACTGTCAAAATTAAAGAATGGAAAGGGTCATAATATCCTACACCAAAGGAAGAAATTCTTGTATTAAGTTGAACGGTGTTCAAAACTGAATTGACTTCCTTCTCTTCAATTTGAATGGTGCAAGCGTCTATTTTCATTCCAACGAAAACTCAGAATCAGAATCAGGGGCGAACCTTCCTTGTTCAGGGACTGAAGAACTGAGAGATACTGTAAGTATGGCTCTGGACGACACATTCATTTTATTCATAATAACAAGGGATTTTAAAGTTTTTTTGTAAAAAGGAAATGAATTAGTGAAAACTGCTGTGTAATAATTGAGAAAATAATTTACAGTCTGGATGGCCTCACAATTTTATTTTCTTCGGTACCTTCACTCAAAAGACGTCCAGTTCTAATATATGGCGCGGGTTTTCGATCATACACCTGACGGTATGAATGGATAGTTAATACCTGATGATGGGTGGAGAATACTTCCTGCTCCCTGCTCGGTTCAGTGAAATCATCAAAGAAATCTTCCGTCAAAAATTTACGGGTAAAAGGCGACACCAGTAAATTTGAGATAGTAGGGGAAAATAAACTCATATAAGGGCATTTTTATATTAACTCTAGTCTAAATTTCCTGTAAAACTAATGGTAGTTTTCAAAGCCAGACACAGGTACTTACTTGTATATCAGCTGTAGTCGCTTCTTATCAGCATCGTAGTCCAACTTAACTCCCCCCTGATCTGCTAGTTTTTGATAATACACATTTGTCGTTGATTGACATATCTGGGAGCAGGTGAGGTTTATAAAAGACAATATTATTTTATAACGTGGAGGGAGTTTTATTTTGTTAGTTTTACAGTTTTCTGTTTGTTTTGATTTTTACAGCGAGTATGTAAATAATTGAATAAACACCTGCTTTCAACTTTAACAACTGCTTAAGAAGCATTGCTAAGAGGAAGACCGTAAGAGACTGATACTTTAGAGCTCCCTATGATGTTCCAACTATGGTAAGCTATGGTGTAGCAAATGCTAAGCAACTCAGTTAAGAAAAGAAAAGGCGGGTTGCGCGTGGCCTTCGACCCTTTCGATGGAACTTTAAAAATTACATTTTCACTAACATTGTCGTTATAAACTTACTGCGACATTGTTCCTACACTCGCTGAGCTCTGGTGGCCCTAACTTAAAAGACAAGCAAGGGCTGTAACTATAAGTGTAGCCTCCATGTGCTTTGCTGAAGCTGTTGAGGATATGAAATGGGAGCAAATTAAACTTGGAGTCAGCAACAGGTAGCTAAAGATCACAGGTTGGGTACAGGGTGTTATGTGACAATACTATAAGAGGGACCTTACGATCCGACAACGGCGTCGTCCATGGAGATGTTGCTGAAAAATATACTTCGCATCATTTTAAAGTCTTTAAACATTTTCGATTATCCCAAGTCACCCTATTACTTAAAAGAAGGGAATTTAGGTTGGAGCTGAAGAGAGAGGACCGCACCCGAGTTCATGGTAGACTGATTTACATCCTTTGCTATTTCCGTTCTCAAGTAAAGTTGAAATTTGGTCATGATTTCATGTCATAGTGTGCAGGGACGGCAAATAAAATTGCAAAAAAGCGTAAAGCACGTGCAAAGCCTTTGTACTGCTCATTAAATTACTGCGTTTTTGACGTTCCCGTTGCCCTCGCCGTCGTAGTTTCGTATGGTCCCTAATAATGTAGTAGCTTACAAACCTGGGATTTTCAGGATCATCGAGGTTTTGTAAGGGCCAGAGATTGTATTTGTTTTTGTGCTGATCATAGCAAGTACAGTTCATGCAGACATTTTTGTGTTGTGCTTTCTGGTTTCCATCAGTTCCCTGCCCTCTCAGACAAGCACACAAAACCACTGTACAAATAAACCGTCTGGCGAACCTCATCGAAAGCATTGTTCGGCAGTCACCGAGTAACTTTTTTCTCTATAACGGCACCTGTGCATGTAATGAAAACAAATCGTGTACTTACCGTAAATCCTCTATTAAGCCCCCTCTCAAATAAGCCCCTCCTTTTCAGAGGAGGAAAGTTAATAAGCCCCCCTCTCTATTAAGCCCCCCCTCCCCCTCCTCCAATCCTTATTCTTCACAAAAAAATTAACGATTAACGTGGACTGATCAGTTATGGTTTATTCATAAAAATTACCGAAGAACATGAGGTCGAAAGCACATTTTTGACGAACAAGAATTTTGTTTTTGTTACTTTTAGGCTCCCACAAGTGAATTAAATACTTTTGACGGTGACTTCAATTGTACAATGCGTAAGTCTACTCTGTCTCATACCACGGTATTTTTGCTACAGGTGATGCGTTTCGCTAAATTAAATAAGCCCCCCTCAGGGAGCCTAATGCTTGAAAAAAAAAAGCCCCCCGGGGGGCTTAATAGAGGATTTACGGTAATACATAACGTCATAATGCAAGGACGAATGCGGCGGGGAACAATTACAAAGAGCACTCATTCTCGTCAAATTGTCCTTCAGTCAGGGTAAAAGAGAGGATAAATGAACAGGATTGCAAGCTGAAGACAACATTTTTCGCATTTGTCCTTTGAACTTCGACTTCCTCGTTAACTTTGTTATTC